ACTGGGATGACCTAAAACAGATCAAGCCGTCTAGAGGCGGCCTGCACACCTGCATGCGCACAGACACCGTGTCCCTGCAGGCCAGCAGTGCTTCGCTAGACGATGGCGAGACGGAGCAGCTCCTCCAGGAGGAGGCGTCCGAATGCTCCTCCATAACCACCCTGACCCCTTCAGCCATCACCCCGCAGCGTCACGCCCAGCACAGCCTGCCCGACACCGGCTGGGCTTCCACGCGCAAGCCCTCCACCGAGAGCGAAGTGTGAGAGAGGCCCCCCTCCCCTCCCCGCCCTCCGTGCTTTATCTCAACCTCCATTACCTAATACACACATACACTCACACCTGTATTTATAGCTGGTACAGACACACAAAGAGAAATAGGTACAAATACAGTAACAGTTACGTACGTAGAGTACATATGGTACGATACATATGAACCCGGTTAGACAACTAAACTCCTATAAACACAACTCCTGTCTCTGAAACTGGGTCTCCGTCCTACTTGTGCCCACACACACACACGCAGTACAGTCCTCCAACAGTACCCTCAGTGCTAATGCCTTTAGGCAAAATGATAAACTAATGAGCATGCTGGAATAAGAAAGCAAAGGACCCCTGGGGAGGAAGTGAACAGAGAGACACAAGCGTTATCTGGAGCCTTTTTAAAGGATGCAGACTCTCAATGCGCTTCTCTGTGTGCAACTTCACCTTTATTTTTTGTGAATTTTTTTTTTTTGTTGTTGGACGAAGCTAAAATGACATACTCCCTGGACAATGTAACCACAATGCTCTCTCTAATGCCACTCATGTCTTTATGAACTCTATTTATGAACGTTTTTGTACTTGTGGAGTGGGTTTGCTGACTTTCTGAGAATGGTGAGAGTGTTGTGTTAGAACTTTGTGCAGCAGGACCCGGGTATTCAAGAGTTGTATTTATGACAGTGCCAAAGGGTGGGGCTTCACAAAGTCTCCATGCTTCTTTCTGCATTTACACTTCATTAGAAATGTATCTTAATTACGGGATGTTTATTTCGTTTGACTTTACCGACTTGCCCCCAACGGTGGGAGACCTCAGTGATGACACCACCTGCATCTGATTCCTTATTTTACAGCCTCCAACAGGTCAAGCAAGGACTTACTGTGGCTGGTACTGTCAGTTGGTTGCAGAAGTCTGTTCATCCTCGACAAAAGTACCCTGAAAGGAGCCTTTTGTTTTTTTTTGTTTTTTCCTTCAATCAACCATTGCTGATCCTCTGGCATAGCGGAGGAAGCCACGATGAAGTAACAGCCTAAGTGCCAAACATTTTGTTCTTTTTCCTCCTTCAGCTGTATATTTATTTTTCTCAGAGGTTTTAAAATGTTCGTGACATTCGTTTTACTTGGGTTTGGTCACCCAAATCACAGAAAAACATATTTTCTCAGACATGGGCTATTCAGCCATGCAGATAGTTGTGGTTTTATTTACCCAGGTGTTAGATATATGTCTCTGGGATTTCTTCTGCCCACAAACACTGGGGTTTTCTTTGGAACTACTTTCTCAATGTTACTCTGTCATTGAGTGTTTCTTTCATTGTTCCTGGGGTTTGCTATTCAGGTAAATGATTATCTACGACAGCACTTACTATTCGAATTTGAAGCTCTTTGATTTTACCGAGATCAACAGCAATTCTTTTTCAGAGATAAAAAAATTAATAAAATAACTCCCTTGAATTATTTTCATGTATTTTACATTATCATCACCAGTTCCCTTATCGTGCTGTCCACCCTCATTCTTTGCTAATGTTATCTCTCCAACATTTTAGCTGTAATCTCAGCTGTCTAAAAAACATAAATACGCCATTCTGTCCTCCCTGTCCATTCCCTCACACAACGGTCTTAGCCTTGTGTGAAAATGCGCTTTCTTTTAAAGGCTGCTACAAACAGAAATATTAAATATAAACAATGTTACATCGTTTTTGAAAAACAATTACCATCCCCATTTTAGCAAATTGACTATACTCAACAAAATAATGTTGAGAAGTGTTATCCTATAGGGTTAGATTCTTACATATGTGAGTCTCTACAGATGTCAATGTGATTTTGAATGAGTTCTTCTTACTTCTGGAGCATAATAACAAAAGTCCCAGCTTCACTGCGTCTCTCTATTGTATTGGGGTAGTGGCAAGTTTCAGAGGCAAATATATCAAAAACTTGGCAAATACAACCAAAAGTATCTGCGTGGCCAAACTCTGCTAGAGGTAAATGAGAACGTTTGTTCTTTTTGTAATTTGAGTTTCAATCCATCAACTCTAAATCTGTAATGCAAATGTGTACTCGCAGTGTGCGCACAGTATCTGCCACAGTACAGTATAACAAATGGGTAACTTAGGAACACTGTGCACGTCTGACCCCATCAGACAGTGAGGGTTATAGTTTAGAAATATATCACTGACAACGTACTGAAAAATGAATTTAATACAAGTAAAGATATTATGCATTGCTTTAACTTTAGAGTACCATTCTGTCTGTTGTTGAAATATGGTACAAGGAAATATTATATTGCTATATTGACAAATATATCGGTTAGACTTTACAGAACCATGTATTTTGAAGTATCTGCTACAAGCTCAGCAACTTGCTGATTTGCTGCTAGACGAAGCACTGAGGCCAATGAAAGAGGGTCTTGGCAGCTACATAACTACGGTCTCTGACGGTTGGTTGACAGTAGGCCTACAGAGCATCACAGCGACCCAGTAACCAATCATCCTGGCTCACAGTCCCTCCAACTCTGCTGCAGGAATGCTAAAACTGTACAGATTTTATCATGAGGATATAAGCAAACATTTCTGTTGAAGATATTGCATTGATTAAGTTGTATAGTCTTTTGTACAAAGGGATTTCATGACCGTTTTTAGACTTGTATTAATTTTACTCACTGGAGAAGAACTTTTTTTTTTTGTTTTGTTTTTGCTGGATTATTTTAACCACTGTGTTTCCAAGCCTTGTAAATGATAGGGAATATGCCAGTTATTTAATAGTGCTCTTTTATCTTATGAAATACTGGTCGCGTATAGCTGTTGTAAAGTTAACAAAAAGAGGTATTTATGATTTCTGTTTGGTTGTCACTTGATGTGTAAATATGAAAAGACTGTATATGTATTTCCATGGCAGTACTAACAAGCTGTGTTGTGTGATATAGTGAATTATCCCTTTGCTATCTTTTAATATAAAATTGCATTTGCATTTCAATGAAACTTTTGGCTCACTCGTGTATTTGCATAATTGCTCTTAGACGAATGCCTTCCTCATCAATGATCATATAGCAATGAAGGAAACTCAGATGTAACAATGGGAACAAAGATATAATCAGAATGAAGCCAAGTCATGTAACATAATTGTTTTTGTTGTTATTTAAAGAAATAATCAGTTTGGATCATGTCAGTTATAGGTATCACATAGTATATGATTGAGTTTGGCTGTAAGTCAGTTCACATTTCTATGAAGCTCAAAATCATACATTTGTCCTAGAGGGTTTCTGTTAAACATACATTACCCTCTGTTCTTAATCCAAATCAAGGGTCTAAGAATAAAGTGGAGTGAACACAACAGGTAGGTAGAGCAACAGAGGAGGCATCCCTCTTCCAGGGAAAACAGACAATAGTTGTAGAATATACAGAGCAGACAAAATAGCCGTAGTAGTAATAAAATTACAAAATAACAAAAAAATTGCAAAAAGCACATAACTTTTATTATCAAGTAAACATTCAGTGTCATAAGTTAAAGGGTTACAGTGTCTGGAGTGTGTAAGTGTGAGTCAGAGGAGAGGAGAACTTTCAGGTACCACAAAGACTGAAAGAGGACAGACTCCATAAAGGCCTTAAAATAACACAACACCATGAATCTTTGGAGAATTATTAGTGCATACCATATAGGGACACTGTTAATCCCAGACTACCACACCCAATCCATAAGCAGCTGGTGGTGTGTTCAATTGTGACATTAATGGCATATTAAGGATTTAGTATGTGGACCATTTTATACCAGTATCACTACGTGGAAACATCCATGGTAAAATCCGGTCAGATCTGGTGAGTAGTGGGTACCATACAATTCAGGGAGTTAAAGTTTAGGGTGAGCTACTGGGTATTTGTGCAAGAGTAGGAAATCAAGTGACAATATTGAAGATATACATTAAACAATAAAAAGTAAAGCAAAAGGATATAAACACATTTTTGAGTTGCTCTCAACCAAAATACCGCTTGCTTTCGTGTGTGCACGTGACGGGAATACGACTTCTCATTGGTGGTCCCACAAGAAAAAAAAAGTTCCATCTGTCCAATAAACGTGCAGCATCGTCAAGGCGATTGAGCCAATCAGCGATCAGCTTTCCAACAACGTTGTAGTTTAAAATGAGAAGAAAACGTGTCGGTTGGCTGTTAGCCGCGACGAGCAAGAAGAAAACACAAGAAAAAGGGTTATTAAGAGGTTAACCGACATACAGCTCCTCGTTCTGTGTAAGTTTTTACTCCGTGCTTTTGGTCGAACGTTTTATTTTAGGATTAACAGTGAAGCATTTGTGAGAAATGTCCGGTCAATAGTTAAGCTACGCCAAGTCAGCTAACGTTAGCTAGCTCGCTAATGTTGGCCTTTAGTTTGTTTTCAACGCTGAAGGAAAAAAAAAAATTAACGTTACTAAGTTAGTACACATCAATTCGGGTGTCTTTCACAGTCCCCATAGGCCAGTTTAAGTTTGGCTTTTGCACGACGAGTCGGGTAAATAGGATGGATCACGTTTTGCGCACATGGCTATGGCTAACCTGCTTGTTTCTCGTAACACGTCGTCCTAACGCAGCTATTATTGCAGCTAACCGTCGTGAGCTTCTTACGTTGCCGTGATATGAGATTGGACCAACAGCGACCCGTCGATCACAATGTGAACACAAGGTAAACACACACACCCGACCCCAGGCCTCCGGGATGCTACCGTGGCCTGTTATAGTGATAGGTAACGGAGGGGTGCGGGGTGTGAGAGTGATGAGTTGCACTGATCAGTCGGGGTGTGTGTTGCAGTGGCAACAGCACCTCGATCCGACCCAACCTGCGGACACACAATGTGCACAGGGGCCATCTGACTCAACCCTCAACCCTCTGTGAGTCTCTGCTCTGTGCAGACAAAGCATGAGATCAGTTTAAGTAACATCAGATTGAATACTGGTATTCAGAGAGAATACTGGTCTTCCACTGGTGCATTTTAGGTGACAGAGCAGATCTGAAATGACTTATTTGCTGTTTAGTTACTTTAGTTTTTGAGTGAGGAATCCTTTTGACGACTTCTGCTGTTCAACAACATTGTATATTGTTTTCAATCTGTATTAATCCCCCCCTTTCTCTTTCCTGTCCCTACTTAATGTAAGTCTAGCATCTGGAGATTGTGCTGTGGCTCCTGTTCCCTCCTTTAGGAAGACTATCAACTCACTGACCTGGAGGGCAGCTCCTTCCTTCCTCAAGGTTTGTTTCTGGATGCACTACTATCTAATTAATTCTTCTCATTTTGCCAAAGGGCTTTATTTTATTTTTATTTTTGTCACCCAGAGACGGTGCTTTTTATCCATAACATCTGCTACAAATAGTTAAAAATATCTATCATGTGACAACTTGTCTACAGTATAGCAAGTGACGATAGATAATAAAGTTAATTTTATTTATTTTGTTAATACATGTAACCAGAAAATACTGGTATCTGTACCTTTTCTTGTCAAAAGTCCATCCAACACTGCAAATCTGCAGAAGTAGATAATGAATGACTTTGTCCTGCGTGTTTGCAAGAAGTTTCATGTCGAACAACTGTTTTTTTTTGTTGTTGTTTTTTTTTAGTCCACTGGTCTAATTTGTGATTTTTCAGTTCTGGGAATGCTTTAGAAAAAGAAATGTGGTGACATGAATTCGGGAATACACAAATTGAAATGCCCTCACCATCCAAAACCTAGTCCTGCTGTACCTTGCAGCGTTTTAGAGAGCCACTGGGGTGTGACAGTGATGAGTTGCACTATTAGTCGGGTTGCTGATTGCAGTTGCACAGCGGACCTGTCCTGACAGCCTGTGGTGACACCCATTGTGCACAGGGGCCATCTGAGTCACCCCCCCCCCACACCTGACAGAGAAATAATGGCTTGCTGCATAAATGTTTTCTCTTGTCATTTCCTGACCTAAAAATTCTGTGTTTTTGTTCTGTGTTCCTTTCCCAGCCTGAAGATGGGAGAATATAAGGATTTTGGTTAAGCAGGATGTTCAGGCCATTGTGAACATGATGAACAAAACGCTTCCTGCCAGCAAACATTTTGCCTTTATAATGGGTGGAAGAACTCCAACCTGAGAGCTGGTAAGGACACGCAGACTAATTCAGTCAGCTTTTGTACTTTTATTGAGTGCAAATCTTTATCCCTTCCCATTTGTACTCTTTTGCGGATTATCTTATTTAAGAAGTCACAGCTCAAAGCTCTTAAACTCTTATCGCTGCCTGAATTTGAAGACTCCCCTACTGATTTCTGGCACTTAGAAATATATGCGACGCTAATACTTCAGTACTATTTCTAATGGGAGATCCTTGATAGTTTTATAAAATCTTTGTGTGGGAATTGGTTCTCTTAGCACTTTATGTATAGTGCAGTCTTGTCCCCAGTGGAGCATTCAACCAAAAACAAGGCTCCTCCCATTACACGTGTGAAAATGACCGGCTGTTAAGAGAATTGGCTACAGTCTTCTAAGATGGCAGCTCCACTTTTAATTTTTTAACCGTTTCTTACTGAGCACAGACACCAAAAACATTGACGCCTCTGAGTTGGGCCCACAGAGCATGAGCACTGAAGTCCTAATATGCAAAAAAAGATGAGAAATGTAGTAAAATGGCTGAACAGTTAACTTTTGGATGGTCTAACGGGTGAATGCAAAACCCCACAACAGTCCATATGGAGGTGGGCCGCAGTACATTTATCAATGCCAGATTTATCAACAAATTCTTGCATTTGTTGGCTGCGTTATCAGACAGACATGTGAAATGCAAATGAGAACTGAAACAGTGTTTCAGGTAGTTTGATGACAGAGATGCTAAGTCACCTCTTGGCAACTGAGGCAGCACAGGCTATGCTGTCTGTCCAGCACATTTGTTACATTTTGTATTTATGTACATTTCTATTTATTTAAAAGTTTCCATGAGCAGGCAGTCGCTCTGTTGGTCACTAATGACCCAGTTAAAACTTAGTCCGGCTGTGATCAGTGGCCCACTTGATAGTTGGACTGTTTTCTTTTTTGAAAACAAAAACTGCCCACGATAGCGGTTTCCCATTCCTATTTCCTATGTCCTGATTACTTCCTTAACTAAATCATTGGCTCTGCTTTTAAATTTCCCCTGTCCTCTTTCTGTCTCCCCTTCCTCTTTCTTTGTCCCTGCAGGCAGCCTCACGGCCAGAAAGTCCTGCCAGCCCCACAGCCGCAGCCACTGGTACAGCTGCAGGTCACAGCCAGAGTTCAGCCAGACCTCCACCTGCTGCACATATGGCCTGTCCTTGATCCCCGAGCTGCTGCAGGACAAGCCTGTATTGTCCCTACCCGATGCCGGTAAAAGCATTTTCAGTATGTGTGCTTGTACGAAAGGATTTTGAGGTGCTAAGACTATCTGTGAGGATATTTGTAACTGAAACGTTGGAACAGATTTTTCTTTTTTTTTTTTTTTCCTTCAGTGTACAAATTGAGCACATTGTGGTTTGTTAAATGACAAGCAATAACACCAGGAAGGTCGCATACAATGTCAAAGTAACCATCAGAAACATTGTTTGTTTTGTGTCTGCCTCAGTAATTGTTTGGGTTTTATTTTAGGCTACGTCTGCTCCCTTCTGCCCACCATGACCCAAATTCTGCCTCTCTAACACCAGCATGCAGGTTCTTGCACAGGTGAGGCCAGATTGCCTTTTGATCAATTTGATGTTTTCTTATTTATGGTTTTAAAAAAAAAAAGAAAGGAGGATGCATCTTTGATCATTGAACACTACTTTTACTTTGCAGATGGACGAGATGTTGCATCAAAACATCGTGACAACAGTGCTGCAGCTGCACATCATGTGCAACAAATATGATGACCATTGTGTACCTTGGGAAGACAACTTAAAGCTCTACAGCTGTAATGTGGCCTTACTGCTGGTGAGCAACACAGAAGTCCAGTGTTTGCTACATTTATCTTCAAATAACTGTTGGCCTTATTGTCATCGCCACAACAAACCTGGTCCAGACACACACCATAGTAAATATGCACAAACTTGCATATATTTGTAACAGTGTCCAACTGTTCAATAATCCCTTTGAGTCAGAAGTCACGTACATCACAGTAATGGCTTTTGCTGAGGCTGTTTGCAGAGGTGACTGGAATGGGTTGAGTGTCTGTATTCCTCTGCAGGGATTACAGTTTTTGTGATTGCCTTGCATCATCAGAGGCCACAGCTCATCTTAAATATCTGCATGTTCTGTTTTTTTTTTTTTTCCTTCCCCCAGCCTGCACTGGTCTCAGGCGTGATGTGTATGCATTTGTAGTGAGTAGTAGTAATAACGGCACTGTTTTAACACCTGTGCTAAGATTCTTTTCAAGGTAGTCTGAGAAAATCATCAAGATGAACATTAAGAAGATCATGATGGTCACCCACAACTTGACATAGCTACACACGGAGATATAGTTGGCCAAAGTATTAATTTACACTGGTACTTGCAGCAATACTGACCTTATTAAACAGAATGGCTATTAGGCACATTTGACTGAGTGATATCAATGATATCTTACTGTTTTTGGTCCCTTGATCTTCATATACTAAATGTGTATTCTTTGACACCCGATATTGAAGCCTGTTTGTCTTTTTACTAAATAAAATTTCAAATGAACATGTGTTTTCTATTATTAATCAGGGAATGCAACAAGATTATATTGGTACTTTTTTTTTTTTTATTATATGGATAAATTCTAGAGGCAAAGAGTTGCTGATTTTGTGGGATTTGTGTCCATATAGATTGAAATCTACTTAATTGTGCCATGTAATATAATTACAGTTTTTGATTAAAAGATGTGTTCAGTCTCCTTTCAGTACTGAGTAAAATGTGGACTGTGATATGATGTATGATCTGTTCACTGAGGTGTTATCTTTCAGTCCTGCTTTTCCTTTGTGCTTTACTTTTTTGTCTTTGTCTTCCTGCTGCAGTCGAGACAGCTGCACTCATTCACACCAGTGTCTGATTCAGGAACAAACGCTTCAATTTTCAATTCAAGTGAATTACATTTAGCTACATTGTTAAACCTTCTTATTTTGACTTAGTGGAACTAGAAATAGACTTCTGCAGCACAAAAGCTAATACAGCTTCAACACATTTGCAGTGAATTCTGGGAGCAATCAGCAGACCAGTTGGAGAAAAAGCAAACGGACCAAAAATAAAAACCGTGGGTGCTTTCTGAGACTCCAGTAAAAGTCTGGTTATTCTGTGTGAACTACAGGAAAGGAGATCTCTCAACCCAGTTAAATGAGCAGCTGCGGTATTCGAATGGACAACCTGTTGGCTACCCATCTCTGCTGTACAATAGGATTTAAACCACCAGGTGGCAGTTGTACATCAGTGGTTCCTCCAGCCTGGACATATGCTCGTGGCCTGGTGCCCGGTGCTCTCTGTCACAGGTGTGTTATAAAGCAACACATTTCACTGGATTTATTCTGTTACAGAAACACATGAGTTCCTGGAGGCTCCACACAAACACTGATCACTCCAGCAGGAGCTCAAGTCCCAACTGTGATGAAAACCTTAGTCTCTCAGGCAAATTAACACAAACATCTTTGAGTCTCTAATTCTTTCAGCAAACTCAAAACATCCCTGTTTTAAATTTTCAGATTTTTCTCACACATGCTTAACCACCAAAGTTAAGAAGTTATCTGGCCAAATCCTGTTTGCTAAGAAAATTCATTTTTCCATGAATATACCAAGGTAACCCAGAGGTTGTCTGGGATAATGCATGGAAACAAAGATCTGTGCAGACAGGTTTGACTGAAGCACTCACAAATCATCTCTATATTACATTGTTTTGATCTAAATGTGTAAGAATGTACTCCAGCTC